ATACTATCATTCCGATGAGGAAGATGATCTATACGGAGATGGCGGCAATAACAATGGAGCAGACATCTACTTTTTCAGCTTTTCTCACACTACGAGCGAGCAGCCTGCCTCGAACTTCTCCGAGAGCACAGAGTACGTCACTGCCGAATGTGCTAGAGGATCGGACGCTGAATCTGTCTTGGATGAAGCTGGCGGTGTCTGTCTCACTATGAGCAATGTGCCCCAGCCCACCGACTCGAGCATCTTCTCTCCCGCCGTCAACCCTCCTTCTCTCCCTTCTGTCACGCCCTCCCTCCCCTCCCCCGCCATCAAACCCAACGCCACCGCTAATATCGACAATGGCGACCCGCTCCTCTTCCATTTCTGCTCCAAGCTCAGCGGCCCAGCCAACAGCTACACCAGCCAGGACTTCCTTTTCGAGCTAACTGGCATGGTCTTCGACGTGTACTGCGGTTGGTTGGAAGGTGTCCGCCTCACCTTCCCGGGGGCGAAGCCGCTCAGCAAGGAGAAGCAAGATGCCCCGGCTTGTCTCCATCTGGGCGGCTGGAAGAAGAGTTTTGGCCGGGACAAGTGTGACGGGTGCCAGCTTCGGCAGCCGCTTTTTATGCTCACTTGCCCGGGATGCGGGATTGAGAAGTGCGGGGGGTGCAGGTTGACCTCTGCTGCTGCTGCGGGTAAGGGGGAGGGGGTGGGGGATTTGCTGAGGGGATGGGATGCTACTGCGCTGGGCTGGTAGGAGCCGATTGTTTTCTTTTCTTTTCTTTTGATTTTCTCTCAAAGGAGGTGAAGATCGTGGTCTGGTCTACGTTTCATCTGATATTACTTGAGACTTTGTTATTTTTTTTGACGCTTTGTTTCAGTTCGTTTACTATTCATGAAAACCTAATCTAGTGAGCTTAAGTATGCAATGCAGTATTCCTCAGTGATAATTGAAGAATCACCTCATCTATCAAACCTAAATATAACAAGCTCACGATCGCGGTTCTGCCCTATTATATAGTCCTCCGTCCCACAAACCTTCCCCATCCCAATGAACTCCGTTACCATGCTCCCAGGCAAGACAATTGCCGGTTCAGGAGCGTACTCAGGTGAGGCAACAGCGAGAAACAGAGCCATTTCAATCGGCCATTCCTGTTTCTCATAGTAAAGACAATAACCCGTCTGCGACTGCTCATCAAAAGACTCACAAACAATGGAATGCCACGGCTCATCGCAGATCGCAAAAGTAATAGGCTTAGTCTGCAAGCTACAATTCCCTCGATATGGCGGCAACGCAAAGTCGGCGCGTTGTCGCCGGCGCGGACCCTCACCGACGATGGGGATAGTCGTCACCCACACCTCAGACTCCCATGCATCAGGGATGAGAACCTGCGGTGAACGGCCCGCGCACGTACCCTCGAGGATCTCTATGGACTGATCGTCGTCGGTGATGCTGAGGGATTGTATCATTGGGAGACCTCGCTGACGGATGCCGTAGAAGTCTAGTTCTCGGAACCCGAGGCGAGTGATGATGGTCGGTCCGAGGTCTTCTTCTCCTCCTTCGGACTCGAATCGCAGGCGACCTGTCGGGTCTAGGGAAGGTCGGTAATCCGAGGGCTTGGAAATGTCCCATACGGAGAGGGACTCGATGGGGGCGTCCTCGTCTGCGGTGTAGAGGCTGCGGTTGGGTTGCCAGATGTAGATGGCATAATGGGTGCTGGTGTGGGTGGAGTAGAACCGATCTCGTTCGCTGAGAGGATGGCCGAGGAACATGATCTTCCATTCATTTCGGAAGTTGACGCTCCAGCCATCTTCCTTACGGTTCACGTCGAAGGAGGTCGCGAAGTGTCGGTGGACACCGTCGCTGTCGTTGAGCCAGTGGTAGGGTATGTATTCTGCCCATTCGATGATGAGGACCCGTTTCTGCAGACGGACTCGGCGGATTATTCGCCCGACGATGATGAATGGGACCATGAATTTTCTGTCGGTTTCCATGTCCATTAGGACGAGACATGAATGCTCTGCACTTGGGAATACTAGGAGCCCGTCGTCGTAGGTCCAGAAGGTCTCGCCGAATGATCGGTCGACGCGCTGCATGAGATGGCTGGCGTGGTGTTCCCATGGCGGGACCGAGAACCAGTTCTTCTGGCCTGTGATGCCGAAGTCATTGCTGAGCTTGAACTTGTGCATTGTTCGGTACGTTAGTCGACTTAGATAGTCATATTTGGCTGTGACATGGTCGAAGATCTTGGATATGTGAGTGTCGTATTCTGGTGATTCGAGCGTTTCTGCGCTTTCAGAGGCTAGCTGTCGCACTTCTCTGGCTAAGGGGTATCGTTTCTTTAACATTGGAAGCAGGTTGGCGCCAATGCGAAAGGCTTCGTTCCATGACTTGCAGACTCGTCGGCAACGGAGGACATCGCCCGGCTCGAGACGCTTCAGTATAAGCCAGAAGATCTCCCGGGGCAGGAGGGCCATGCCCTTGCCTTCAGATGGGGATGCATTGGACATGGTCGTTATGATTTTTGAGAATTGGTAAGGCGGGGAAAGTGCCTGGGGGATTCCGAGCACTAAAGAAAAGAGACCCTCGATTAGTAGCAGATGGTAACTAATTAGTCTAGTCCAAGACTGTCTAACTCTTAAGGAGATAATAGTATGGGCTCCGCATAAACAAAGGATCTTATGGGCCCGGAGCTACGGAGCTTTGTGCTCATCGAGGCTTTTTGCCCGGAGGACAGAACAGGATTGCCGATGGCCATGGAAATGTCAGAATATTTGACTGAATTATGGATGCAAAGTCATGGGGGATGAACAATGGAATGACTGATTGATTTGACGGCGGGGAACATCGAACGGACGGATCCGCCGCCATTCCAAATCCATACAATTCAATATTACTTTCTTAAGACATTTCGCGTCACATGCCAAGAGCTTCAGGACACCTTGCTTCTATCTACTTCTTTTTGTCCTCTCTTCTCCCTTTTTCTTCTCCTCAAACTCATCCCCGCTGGGTGATGCTTTAGCTGCTACTCCTGAATCCCCTCTCGCTTCTTCCTCGCCCGCAATCATGCTGCAGCCCAGCTCTGCATTGCTTTTCGTCACGTCGCTTCTGGCGGCGTTGCCTGTCAACGCTGATGGATTGTATACGAAGAAATCCCCCGTCTTGCAGGTCAACCAGAAGAACTATGACCAGTTGATTGCAAACTCCAATCATACTTCGGTGAGTACAGCCGCGCAGAGTATTATCAATTGCCTACAAACAAAGCTAACAAAGCTCTCTTAGATCGTAGAGTAAGCCATCTACCACCCTACCCATCTACCTCCCACAATCCTAAACCTCCCCGCTCTCCTCCAGATTCTACGCTCCCTGGTGCGGCCACTGCCAGAACCTGAAACCCGCCTACGAAAAGGCCGCAACCAACCTCGACGGCCTGGCCAAAGTCGCAGCCGTCAATTGCGACGATGACGACAACAAACCCTTCTGCGGCCGCATGGGCGTCCAGGGCTTCCCAACCCTCAAGATCGTCACCCCCGGCAAGAAACCCGGCAAGCCCCGCGTGGAAGACTACAAGGGCGCGCGGAGCGCCAAAGCGATCGTCGAAGCAGTCGTCGACCGAATCCCCAACCACGTGAAGCGCGCAACAGACAAGGACCTGAACACCTGGCTCGCGCAGGACGAAGAGTCGCCCAAGGCCATCCTCTTCACGGAGAAAGGCACCACCAGCCCTCTTCTTCGCGCCCTGGCCATCGACTTCCTCGGCTCCATCCAAGTCGCCCAAGTCCGCAACAAGGAAACCGAAGCCGTCGAGAAATTCGGCATCACCGAGTTCCCGACCTTCGTCCTCCTCCCAGGAAACGGCCAAGACCCCATCATCTACGACGGCGAGCTGAAGAAGAAGCCCATGGTCGAATTCCTCAGCCAAGCCGCCGCTCCTAATCCGGATCCTGCCCCTAAGGGCACCACCGCGCCCCGCGATAACAACAAGAAGAAATCCACCGAATCTGCTCCAGAGCCCAAGGTCGCCCAGGACGACGACATCAAACCCGCCAGTGTGCCCATCCCGGCCCCTCCCATTGATACCCTCCCCACCGCGGAAGCCCTCGAGGCTGCCTGTCTGATGCCGAAATCCGGTACCTGCGTGCTGGCTCTCCTCCCTGAACCGAGTGACCCCGACGCAGACCTCCCCGCTCCGGCCAAGGATGCCCTCCTCAGTCTGGCTGAGATCTCACACAAGCATGCCGTTCGTAAGAGCAAGCTCTTCCCGTTCTACAGTGTCCCGGCTATCAATAGCGGAGCTAAGACCCTCCGCGCTGGGCTCGGTCTGCCGGAGGATAACTCTGTGGAGATCGTTGCTTTGAATGGACGTCGTGGCTGGTGGCGCAGGTATGACTCGGTTGAGGGCGCGGAGTACGGCCAGGAGCGTGTCGAGGCTTGGATTGATGCGATTAGGCTGGGTGAGGGCGAGAAGCAGAAGTTGCCTGAGGGTGTTGTCGTTGAGGAGGTGGTTGAGGAGAAGGTTGAAGAGAAGGTCGAGGAAGTAGTCGAAGAACCCGTTGAGGAGAAGCCGGCGGTCGACCACGACGAATTGTAAAACACATGATCCGTATGGAGTGCATGAATTTGTTTATTATTAGCACAGGTGTTTATTAGGTCACATATGTAATTCGGACGGAGCCTGCTACTAAGTTACTACTAGCTGGTTTCTCATATTAAGCATCAATAGCATACATATTGTCTACTGTCAGCTATCCACAATCACTGGTGTGCGTAAAACTTCCCTAAAAAAAAAAAAAAAACTCTTATGTAGAAACAAGCTCTCTAAAATATTCAATTAAGACTTTTTCAAACCCAGCCACGTATGTACAATACAACTATACCTCATTCAAAGTTTCAACAAGAAATCACACACACATAACACCATGATCTAATCAATGCATAAGAGAGACACATCCACTTGAGACAGACCAAATATAGAATAAAATGAAGGTAAGAAAGAAGTGTAAACGAAGAAAGCAAATAACTAATGCTTCTTCTTCTTTCCCTCCGTTCCCTTCTTAATGATCTTCTGTCTCTTGGAATCGATCTCCTGGTCGTAGATCTCCCGAGCCGACTCGCCCTTCTTGCGCTTGGTCTGCTTGCTGGTCTTGACGCTGACGGTGGAAGCACCGCCGGCGCGGATCTGCTTCTCGGCTTCTTCCCATGCCGCACTACCGTGGTTGATCTCGTATCTGGAGACTGTAAATCAGTTATTGTCATTCAATGATTATGATTGACTATTTATTAGGCAAGTGGGGGTGAGGAGAAAGGGGGACTAACTTGTCAAGAGGGAGAGCGTCAATCAACGCGCGCTGCTTCTCGCGAAGCTCCTCGTTGACTTCTTGGCCACCTTCACGGAGTTCGTCGTCCAGGCTGGTCTCCAGGGGCTTGAAGCGCTCGTCGGGAAGTTCGTCATGCGCCTCGGTGGTGACCCGAGCGGAGGGAGCCTTCTCTGCGGGCATGGTCTCGGCAACGGCACCTTCGATCAGGTTGCGGAAGTAAGTGGAGACCTTGCGGATGATCTTGAGGAACATGGCGAGGAGCTGAGACGAGGGGAGGGTGAGCTCCTTCTCGATTGTGTCAAGGTTCTTGCGCTGCAGACCAATGGCGAGCAGGATGGATTGCTGCACGCCGGACAGGCTGACCTTGCCGCTGAGGCGGCCGGAGAAGTAGTACTCGGCGATAATGGGAACCATGTCGAGGATGACGTGGTAGTCGAGGAGGTTGTTGGCGTAGCTGTCGAGACGCTTAAGGTCGAAGGGCGAGAAGGCGGCATCGAGCTCGGCCTTGGTCAAGGGGTTCTGGGAGATGGAGGGGTCGAGTTTGGCGCCGGAGTTGGCGGACTCGCAGATGCTGAGAGACAGCACGGAGGGGAACTCGCGGAACTGGTACGACAGCAAAGACGAGAAACGCTTGTGGAAGTCACGCGAGAAGGCGCCCAGCCAGGCGGCATCGTTGGAGCCGGTGGTCAGGGTGCGCAGCATTACGCAGGAGTGCTCGCCGGTCAGGTCGTTGGGGGTCTGGCGGAGGTAGACGGGAGAGAAGGACGAGCGCTTCCAGAACTTGTGCAGAGAGGGGGTGAGACCGAAGCTGACGCCAACGTAGTCTAGAGCGTCGGGGCGACGCTCGGACAGTTTGCCGAACAATGGGGGCATGGTGTGGATATCGCGGACCTTAACGTTGTCGTCCAGGAGGTTGGAGTTGGTCAGCTCCTCGTCCGTCACCCGGACCATCTCATCCTGCACCTCGGGGATATCCTCCGAAAGGCTGGTGAACTTGCCCTCGTAGAAGTCAATGAGCAGCTCAAGAGCACGAGAACCGTATCCCATGCTCAGATACTCTGGGTTCGTGGCGATACGGACAATTCGGGCACCCGAAAGACCGGCGAAGTCCTCATCTTGGTATTGCTGGCTGACCAGCCAAGGGATCAGATCACCGCCCGCCCGCTGGCCGCGGCTCAGGCTGTTGAGGACACTCTGTCGGCTGATGCGACCTTCCAGGGCAACCTGAATGACACAGAGGGGTTCGGGGAGCTTGGTGGCTTCTTCGTCAATCGGGGGAACGAGAACAAACAGCTGGTGCGCGGGCGCATCGCTCATGAGCTGAAGATCATTAGGAGTGTTCTTGTAGTGGCTGGCAACGTAGAGAGCCATCATCTGCTGAAGGAACTTTTCGGAAACAGGGTGGAAGGAGAACAGGGTATCACGGTTGACTTGCAGCAATTGGCACTGCGAGGGGTGGGGGGTGCCCTGAGTGTTCATGCGAGACTTGGGCAGGGTCGCGTCCAGGCAAAGGACCTTGTTCAACCACTTCTCCACCGAATCACCCGGTGCGTATCTGATGGGTTCCGAGAGGGTGATTTCTCTCAAAGAACGTCCAGCCAGGCTCTTATCAATGTTCTTGGCGGCCTTGCCTGTGGCACGATCGGCGACGTCAATATCATCTTCACCACTGACCTTGACGCCTCCCCGGGACTGCTCGCGAAGCTGCTGGATCAGCTTCAGGGAGAGGGAGCGGCCCGTTCCTTCGTAACCGTTAATGGTAGAGGCCATGAAGACCAAGTACGGTCCCATCAGCTTGCGGACCAGAGGAAGAGGGATGGCGGCGGCTTCATCAATCACCAGCAGCTCAGCCTGACCCAAGACGTGGGCATCCTGGGGCTGAATGTACTGGATGGTCTGACGGTGCTGGCGATGGATGTTGACACGGACGATGGCCTTGTTGAAATCCGGGTTGGTCGATTGAAGGATGGTGTAGTCAACATGGTCGAGGTAGCCGAGAGCGTCAAAGCCCTTGAACACGAACTCGAAGAGGGTCTTCAAGTTCTCGGGGCTGGGCGAGGTGATGAAGATGTTGCTGTAGCCGTGCGCGACGGCGGCCGCAATGGCCACACCAAGAGCTGCGGATTTACCGCGACCTCTGGCAGCGGTCAAAGCGACAGTGCTGCGAAGGGTCTTCTCAGCGATCGCATCGGCGAACGTCAAGAGCGCCTTCGCTTGGTCGACGGTGCGAGCCAAGTTAACCAGCGAGCCAATAGGCTGAGACTCTGCCAAGCTCTCCTTAATCTCCTTCAGCTCCTTCTTTGTGCCAGTGTTGGTATCGTCGATCGACTCCGGCGGAGGCAGCGGCTTCACGCTTTTTCCGCCGGAGATGGGCAGGACGTTCAACTCGTCATCCACGACCAGGCAGGAATCGCAGCTACCAAGAGACAGGATGAAGCGCTCGTTGAATCTGGCGGTGACATCGTCGTGGGCCTCGGTGCGGTATCTCGAGTGGATATCCATGGACAATGTGTACAGCTGCTTCAAGCTGTTCATGCCCTTCAGCAGCAGCAGGACGATACCACCACCTTCGACGGTCTCAACAGTCCGGGCGAGCAGGTTCGGGGTCATGGCCTCGAAGTCCTGGAGCACGCACATTCCGTAGGTGTTACCGAGAATCTTCTCGGTCTCCTTGTAGTAGACGTAGCGGATCTGGTTGAGGGTGATGAACAGCTCGAACGGATCCTCCTGGTTGGGTTCTCTGATGCCGCGCTTGACCTCCTTCTTGATCTTGGCCTCACGCTTCTTCCGGTGACTCGTGAATCCTAACAAATCCTTCTTGTAGGCCCACAGCACGGACTTGTTCTGCTTGACGTCGACGCTCGACATGATATAGTGAAGGTGGACGATGACATCCTTTGCGCGGTCGCCAACGACGACGAAGAAGCTCCGCTTCTTCTCCTGCACGCCATTTCGAATGAGGGCCGGAATTCGGGAATCAATCGCTTTGCGGGGCATGTTGTATGCTGATTCCTGTGACCCTGGAGAGGGGAGGGGGTTGACTTGGGTATTAAAGAGAGCGCTCGCAGAAAGGTGTCGATGGCCCGCGAACGAAAATTCGTAGACGGCGGCGGGGACCACAGATCGTGGGTTTGCAGTGGTTATACAGGAACACCACTTGAATTGCGAAACAAGAAGACAGAGACCAGGCCCTCAAACAACAGGAGAAACGGACGGCCAGGTAGAGAATCTGAAACTCACACTGCCGATGTACTCAGCGATTCTTCTCGCCGACAAAAAAAAGTTATCGCCGAAAATCAGAATTGCCGCTAGGGACCGCTTTCTGTTTGGGATACCGCCTACTATGCTGCCTGAGGCAGATAAATTGTGGTTCCTGACTCGCGTTGTATCACGTGATAGTCATTTGACAGGGACAGGGAGGTTACCATTATTATTGACCAGTTGATCATAACATTCAAGTATAGCACGCGATCTTATGCCTAATAGGAGCATTGAATATGTTAACAGAGTCGCTATTGCATTCCTGAAACTGCAGATATCTACATTGACTATCTAGGTAGCTGGGAAGTGTTTATATTTTGTTTGCAAGCGAGGCGATTGGTTCTTGTTTGTTCTACAATAACTTACTCTAAAGACCCCTTCTCGTATTGTGTAGTTATCGAGGAACCAATGCTGTTAGTATTAATAGTAAACCTACATCTCATGTAGGACTTTGTTCTTCTAGGGTCTCATGGTGGAAGGGTGAAATTTCCTCACCGGAAGAAGGCAGACAGGGCAGGCAGGAAGATCGCTCTCAACTCTCAATCCGTCTCAGCTCGAGTCCCCACGGAGTCTCCACGCTTTACCCGCCCGCCAGGATATCGCGCAGTCCCTGCCAACGTTGACTGGATGCGTTGACTCAAGTTTGACTCTTGGATTCCCTGGAGATCCAGAGTTTTCAGGATTGATGATGCCATGCAGAGGGGCACACGGGAGGGGAGATTGCCCGATCGGGGAGAGGATCATCCCTTAAGATGGAACCAAAGATGGATCATGGAATGGCTGGACCCTGACGCTAAGCGCTGCAACCTGCCATGTCTTTTTTTTCGGTTCCTTTCAGGATTGCCTGACCGTTTCATTGTGTGTGTCTTGCGCATCTACATGGAGTACGTATTCAGTAACACCACCTCTGATAGACCTGAAGGACTGAGCGGTAACTCTTGGCCTGTCATTCGACCAGAAAGATGATCGTCGTGGGATAGAGACAGACGGAGTGCTGACGTGCTCGAGCAAGGCAATGGGCAGTGCAGCTATCTGGACACTAAAAGACAAGTTCCTCCCGTGTGGTGGAATGAGGATGGCCATGATGGACGCGAGCCGTGGGCCAGACCCCTTCGTTGACGCAATCCCCTCGAATCCCGGACATACACAGTAATTCCCCTTATCTCTTGCTGGGAATGATATTCTCTAAGGAAATGTTCTTGGTTGTTGTTGTCGTTCCCTTTGTCATTCCTCTTCTCTCCCCCTTCTTTCTCTCCTCCACACCTTTCAAACACAAACTACGGAGGGCACACGCCATTCATTCTACTGGAAGTGTATCTTCCCCCTATGGCCCTAGCCAGGACGTTAAACTGACGGCTCCACCTCCTTGCGGCATCCCCAGCCAGGCACCACAGTTGCTTACTCCCTTACGGATCTTTCTTCTTGCGCCGGAATTTGCCTGTGCGCTGCATGATGTGAATGTCATTCAAACCATGATGGCTATTAGCTTTCTCTACCCATAACTTTCCTTTGGCGTCATGGTATTTCTCTCTGCTGAGACCGGCCTCAAGGCCGCGATAGGGTGAGTATAAGCATACCCGTTATACCACCAAGTATGCCCATCTCTGTTACTCAACGGAGCGACCTGACGCAACGCACAGGGTATTCTTATTAAGCTGTACCTTTATTTCGACGTCTTACAAGACTACATTCGCTTTCGGTAGGCTGCCGGTTCGTACGGTCTTAATCCTTAAGGCTAATTACGCCCTACCCTAGATCACCCTCTCATCACAGCCGTACTGGCCTGCTACTTTGCGGGAATCTGTCTTTTAATCCTGAGCCGATTCATCCATCGCATACCGAAGATCGCATCGTCTGCACCTAAATACTCCTCCATCCCACTCACAGAACGCGACCAATCTCTCGAAGAGCCATTCTCGCCGATCAGCTTGGACAGCAACAGTAGTTTTGCCCTCACTCGCTCGCGCAGTTCGGCGCGATGGATCAAACTAGGTTTACTCTCGGTCCTTGGATGCGTCCGGATCGCTTTGTATCGCGACCTCACTTTTCATACTGAATGCGCGCCGGATGGATACGCGGTAAATAGCCAAAAGCTAGATCTTAGGCGATAGCGCTAACTCGACTTCTTGCGCAGTACACCATACCTTTCTTATTGGCCCTCTATGACTACTGGCGCAATCAACGCAATCGACCGGTTGCGAAATGGTCCGCCCCAGAGCGCCCGCAGAATGCGCATCTGCGTGCCATAGCTACCTTTGCCAGTCGCATGCACAATTTCCTTTTTCAGAGCCGCCTGAGATATGTCATAGCGGCATTTTTTCTCCTGACAGGCGGATATATCACCGTAACGTTCAATCGTGGCTTGCAGTCAACATACATCTGCCCCAATACCTCTAGTCTACATACGCGCATGCGTGTCTTCACGATCTTCAGCCTCATTCTCGACTCGTTGATCTTGATTGGTGCGGCTGAATTGGCGAGCGAAGGATCCCGGCCGGGGGAGAGCATCAGGAAGCCGCCTTTGGCTTCCTGGGCCTACAGCCTACTGGTGCGTCAATGTGGCATGTTTCTCGAACTAAACTGACCATGGTCTGAAGGGAGTGGCTATTTTCTACACCATTGTTGTGATCATTCTCGTCGCTACTTCCGACGGCGACGACCGCTTCATCAGCACTCAATATCTACGCAGTGCGGTGGGTCAAGCAGTGCTGGTGACTTGTGTGGTCGCTGCGGCGTCCCAATTGGTAAGTCTGGGAAGCCGTGTATTGTGGCCATATGCTGACTGCTTAGGTTGCGTACTATGGTATCGCTGGGCTTGCTGTGCTGGCTGGCTTCGTCACGCTCTACTTCACTTGGGCGTCTACTCTGTTTAACGGACAACATCCATTTCCATTGATTTTCGCCTCCCGCGCTTTCGCGGCCCTTTTCTTCATTTTTGCGGGAGCCGTAGCCTTCCTTTATGCTCGAACGGCTTCAGAAGATGAAGCGCAATTCCTATATCGATTCAACCTGGCTATGCGAATTGCTTTCGCTTTTCTCGCTGCAATCGGCCTCATTCTGGTGCACCAGCAGCATAGCGCGGCGCATCTGCATCCTATTGATTTGCTTGTGTACGACGGGAGACAGCACCATAATCAATGGCTTGCGCAGGCCAACAGCAGTCAAACTCTCGCCGATGCTGTGAGGAAGTACCGCGCCCAATACAATCAACATCCACCACCGTGCGTCGTCCCACCATTGCATATTCCAGCTAATGCTAACTAAACCAGGAACTTTGATAAGTGGTACGAATATGCTGTCAACCGATCTTCCCTAGTCATCGATGAGTTCGACCAAATATACAACGACCTTCTACCCTTCCGTGCATTGCCACCTGCGCAAATCCGAGACATGACGCAGAAGCTGGCCACAAATCCTTACAATGAGGTTGGTGCGATCAGCATCCGCGACGGCAAAGCTCGAGTGCAGGAAGGTATCAAGCCCACGCATGCGTGGATGGTGATTAGCGCTTCCAAGATGATCGAGAAATTCGCCGAGTTCCTCCCCGATATGGATCTCGCATTCAACCTGAACGATGAGCCGCGGGTTTCAGTTCCCTGGGAGAAAGTCTCAGTCCTGCGCCACCAAGCGAGGTCTTACGGTCTACCCCCGGAGGACAGCATCAGGACCGAATGGTCGACTGATCGCGGTGCTCAATGGGGACCAATCGAGCCGGCCGACCAGACGACAGAAACCATGTTTGTGGACAACTCCTTCAAACACATCTTCGACCGCTACGTGAGCTCCACCTGCCCACCCTCCTCCAAAGCTCGCAGTCAGCGCATCTGGGACCGTCGACACATCTGCCTCAGCTGTGTCCGTCCCCACTCGCTGGGAGAATTCCCATCCGACTGGGCGGCAGCGACAGACATCTGCCACCAGCCCGACCTTGCCTCTCTGCACGGGTTCTTCCTATCCCCAGCATCCTTCAAAGTCACACAAGACTTGACCCCCGTCTTCAGCCAGAGCACAATCGCCGGCTTCAACGACATCATCTTCCCCAGTCCCTGGAATTACGTCGACAAGATCGAATACAAGCCATCAGAAGAACACCCCGACGCAAACTACACCGACAAAGCCAACACCCTCTTCTGGATCGGCAGCACCTCCGAAGGCGTGAGCAACCACGGCGAATGGAAAGGCATACCACGCCAACGCCTCGCCCACCTCGTGAACAACAACACCCTAAACAGCGTCTCCGTCTTCCTCCCCACCAACGAAACAGACACCTACATGTACGAAGTCCTCAACGGTCGCGCCCCCTCCGACATCCTCCACCTCGACACCTCCGTCAACGTCATCGACCCCATCGTCCGCTGCCGCAGAGAAGACTGCGACGACCAAAGCAAAGAACTCGGCGCCGCCTCCCGCGTCGACTTCCAATCCCACTGGCAATACCGCTACTTATTCGACTCGGACGGCGCCGGCTTCAGCGGCCGCTTCCTCCCCTTCATGCAGAGCCACAGCCTCCCATTCAAGACCGGTCTGTTCCGCCAATGGTTCGACTCACGCATCACCCCTTGGCTACACTTCGTGCCGATCGACCTCCGTCTACACGGGCTATGGAGCACTCTGGCGTATTTCGCCGGCGTGGACACAACTCTCACCGTAAATGGCGCCACACGACACGTCCACATGCCGCCGCACGATATCGAGGGGACTTGGATTGCGGAGGAGGGGCGGAAATGGGCGAACCG